ACGATACCACAATTTTGTGGTATACTGTATCAGTGGATAATCTTCATGAAAACATATCCAGAGACATTTTAATTATAAAGTCTTGGTGTGATTCAAATTATAAAATTAAAGTTTCCTAATTAAAAAAATACATACAGTGTGATACAAAATAAATGAGTTTGAATGAGAATGGAACAGGGCTCTGTAAAAATTATAAATAATCGAGATACAGTTTCGGGAGTCGGGACTTTTTTTACGCAAATTCATTGATTTTTTCAAATCTTTTTTCAAATTTCCAAAATTTGAAAATTTTCCGAGAAATTAAGAAACAACTGAAGCCCCATTTTTTTTCACTTAATTGTTTACAACTTTTGTAATTTTTATCAGTGCGTTTTCGGACCTGTCCTTAAACTTTCTAGGCAAAAATACGAATCGAATGACACCTTGGTCGTAATTTTCGGACAGGGCTGAAAAATGTTACAAAAAAAAGTATATGTGAACTAGACTATTAATCAAAGAGAAACTCCTGTTTTCAATCTGGATTGAACTAACGATAGAACTGATGATGGGCATATATGCCCAAAACATGTATTGTCCTTCTTTCAGAAATGAATTTGGGGAGATCTTCAATACAAAAATCTGGACACTTACTTGATTTTATTTGTTTTCTGTTCATTCTGATTTTCAATCCTGGAGTATATATCCCAGGCTATATAAGAAAATCTACTAGCCAATTCAGAGCCAGTTTCAGGTCCATTATTCACCATTATATTTGATATGGCCTCAATTAAGTTTTCCCTGTTGGTGTGATCAAAAATAATCATATCAGACCACAATTTCGAGATGTATTCTATGGCTCCATTAAGATCCACCTACAGATAATTTACATATATAATGAAGGGAGAAAAACTAATTGTACATTATCAACTTCTTAGAAAAAGTAAGAAGCTTACTATTTTGTCACACACAATGAATACTTTTTGAAAAACTGATAAACGTGTGTGTTACCTGTTTAAGTAATTCACTCATTACCCCTGGCTCAGGTACATAAATATTTGGTACAAGGATATCATACACTTGAGACATGAATTCTTCCAGAGGCATGCTCAGCATCATGAGGAGACAATAATGCCGACTGAAAAATAACAAGTTTTTAATGTTGTGTTCTGAAAAAGTGTTAAAGAGAGTTAAAAGATAGTTAAAAGAGAGTTAAATGACACTTTAGCGAGTTGAAGTAGAGAAATCGACGTTTTTGGCTTAACGAATACATTAACTTGGTTATGAAGTCAAAAATATTTATTAAAGTATTCTTTAAAGTTAAAGTAACCTTTATGTTTATGAAATCGGCCGTAAGCTCTACATAATTTAGTCAAAGGTTAATACAGTTAATTGAATAGAATTAGGGAATATAATACTAATTCACAGTACTTAGTCAAATTAAGATTGAACTCAGTTTATTGTATTACTTTGAAAATGTTCTTATATGACGAAACTTCAGTAACGCAGTAAGTCAAAAATACAAGTGGTAAAAAAACATAGAAACAAGGCCGTAGCCAGGGGGGGGGGATCAAGGGGGATTGGTCCCCTGGCTAAATAAGGGCACGAAAATGTGAGTATTACGACAGCTCAAAGTAAGTAATTTTGACATCTTACATTGGCAACATTGCTTATGCCGTTACTGCGGAATATGCCTTTTCGTCATAAGACGAGCGCAAGCGTAGCTGTCATATTGAAATGGCGGTAATTCAAAACATTCGAACTGTTTTAATCAACAGTGGCTGGGCAAGAAATATTATCTCTACAAACAAATAAATTATTGGAAAAAACCATTGATGGTGCTTCACTTGTTAATAATTCAGTTGAGGCTCATAATTGTGAACGATTAATAAGGTGGTTAAAACGTCATGTGCGTCCGCAAAAAGGAAAAAAAGTGAGCTAATTGAGATGTTAGGTATCAGCATTAGGTATCAGTTGACTTATAGAACTAATAAATAAATCAAGCCATTAATATTTTGAGACTGTGCATATGACATTATTTATTAGACAAATATGTAAATCTGAATTGAATATGTTTAGTAATTTTTATCAGAGGAAAATATTTAATACAACATAATATATATGAAATGTATAAAATTTACAGTCAAAAATGCAATAAGGAATAATGAACGTATGTTGAAATTCCTGATAGCTTAAAGGTTCAGGGTTTTGTTCAGTTGTATCACTTTCTCCAATGAAATGTAGGTAGTGAGCAAATATAAGTATCCTTGTTAACATCATCAATAGATTTAAAGCCTCGGTCACTTCTGCCACATTTTTTCACCTATAATTCACATTTCGCACATTTTGCACAGGCATTAATATGTAATTTGCGATTTTTTTGGGATATTCAAAACAATGCTTTGGAAAATTTATAAAATAGTATGTGTTGGTTTTGAATGATTTGTATCGTGAATCACTTTTACATACTCCATAACTACACCATTTTCTTGTTCCTTTTCGTACAGATAACATAATTATAATGGATTATAAAAATTTTTTTCTGATTATTTTTATGGGCTATCCTAGTGGACGAACTACTAATGAGGCTAAAATCCAAAGGCATGCATTGTTTAGGATATGCCGATGACTTCGCGATTATCGCAAGAGGCAAATTCGCAAGAACTGTTTCGGAGCACACACAAACGGCTCTAAACATAATAAATAAATGGTGCCAGGAGGAGGAACTAACAGTAAACCCTCTCAAAACTACACTAGTAGTCTTTACAAAAAATAAAGTACTCAAAGGGCTGGAGCCACCAATACTGCACGGGGTAGAAATTCCAATTGTACAAGAGGCAAAATACTTGGGAGTCATTTTTGACAAGTTGACATGGAATCAACACCTACAAAATTCAAAATAGCCTTCAACTTGTGTAAAAGGATGTGCGGAAAAAATTGGGGTTTACAACCAAAATTGACCATATGGCTATATACTAGACCAGGGTTATCTTACCCATGATAGCATATGGCTCGGTGGTATGGTGGCCAAAGACTCAGCAAGCTGGGGCGATTCGAAGGCTAAGCGGCATTCAAAGGCAAGCTTGCCTGGCTGCCACGGGCGCTATGAGAACCACTCCAACAGTCTCATTAGAAGTCTTGCTGAACCTAACGCCACTACATCTATATATTCAAGGGGAAGCCAGGTCAGTCATCAGTAGACTGACCAGAGGGCAAATGCCTATAAGCATGCTGCACGGTAAGAGGTACAACGAGTTAAACAAAGAATTGGAAAACGACCCCATAATTGGAATGCCATCGGATGATATGCTTCCCCAGTATAGCTTCGGAAAAAACTTCAAAACAATTATAACAGGCAGAGGGGCATGGAAGGGAGGACCTCCAATAAATACAGAGGTTGCCTGTTACACAGACGGCTCAAAAACTGAAGAAGGTGTAGGAGCAGGAATCTATATAACTAAACCAAAGACCGAAGTCTCACTAAGCTTAGGTAAAAAAGTGACGATAATCCAGACAGAAACGGCAGCAATACATCACTGTGCAGAAGAGTTACTAAGGCAAGAGTTTAAGGGAAAGACTATTGCAATATACTCTGATAGCCAAGCAGCTATAAAAGCAATTAGCTCCATGTAGGTCAATTCCAAACTGGTCTGGAACTGCCTAGAAAAGCTACAAGAACTAGGTAGTCAAAACAGACTGTCATTAGCCTGGGTACCAGGCCACACAGGATACAAGGGCAACGAAGAGGCTGATTCATTAGCACGAGAAGGAGCACGACGCTCCCCCATTGGCCCAGAACCCTTTTGTGGTAGAGCAAAAGCGCTGCGAAAAACTTGTGACAGCAACTGGAAGGAAAAACAATCTCAAAAATAGAGGAATAACGCGCCGGGTATGAGACAGGCCAAAGAGTTCATTAAAGAGCCGTCGCCAAAATTCACGGAGTACCTACTAAGTCTGAATAGGCGATCAACTAGAGTTCTGGTCGGGCTATTGACGGGACACTGTAGACTCAACAAACACATGAACAATATCGGAGTGGCAGACACAGCCCTATGCAGGCTTTGCCAAGAGGATGAGAAAACCTCCGTACACATACTATGCTATTGCGAAGGTCTGTCAAGGATAAGGTTTGCAAAATTAGGGGAGGAAAAACCACAACCCTCTCAATATACGGGGAACTTGAGGTCTGGCCTATGAAGTCTAGTTACAAGGACGGGCCTAGACAAGGAACTCTAGCATACATGAGGGCACACACAATAGACCTGCAAAGGTCGCAGTGTAGTGGCTGTTCAGCACAGAAGCCCTATATTAATCCAATCTAATCTAGCTATTACAGATTGGGTCATTCACACCAAAAGTTATTTGCCATCTCTTCTCGTCATATTACGACCGAGCAGAGATAACAAATTACTTCAGGTAGGACAGACAGATCTGAAATAGATTAATGCCAACAAAACGCACCGAGTATCATGAAAGACAATCCAAAGATGTAACATTACTCGTAAAATATTTTGATTTCTATTCAACAGGCTAACAGTAAAGTAGAAGATTCTAGGTTCTTATAGATTTGCAAAAGAAATTGGTGAAGTTTCATGCGTTTGCGTACATAACCTAAAATAATATTTCATACCAGTGTGATCGCAATTCACATCTACCTCTCAATTTATATTATCATGTTGTAGAATATGCAACACTGTACTCTCACACGAACAGTGCTATTAACGGTATCTAGAGTTCTTTGAAAAAAGTGCTTCACATAACTGAAATCACTTTGTTGAAACCATTGTTTTTATCATAGAAGCCCTTGATGGAATACCTTCCCTACTGTGAAAAATTAGGATCATACCAGATTGCTTTTATCGAGCAAATGCAGAGGGCTGTTATTCTTCACATGTTGCGCCTTTTTGCGATTTTTGGTCCAAATGATCACTTACCCCACTTTGGAGTGGTCATTCATTAATGCTGCTGACACAAGCTTTGAACGAATCAGTGACATATTTGTTAGTCATTGAATTGAAATTCGGTTTTCTTATGTACATTTTAATAATGCAAATACTACATGATTGTAAAATTTCAAATGAAGATCTCACGAATATTATTTTGATATAATGAACTAGTTGAATCATTAGAAAATATTATAATATATTGTGACAGTTCTGATAATTTGTGTTTTGTGGGCGATTCAGACATCTTACTCCTTGTTTCAGTCTTCATATCAATTTTAGTCTCTATTGGTGAATAGAGAGAATTTTTAGGACTGGTCAATTTGAAGCATAATTTTATTCCTAAAAAGATTTTTAGATCAGTTTTTGTCGTCAATGCTAATGATGATGTCTGCCACAGTAGCAGACAAAACAGTTGGTATTTTGGGTTCCATTCGACCATGTTCTTATATTGGTGCTGAAGAAATTTGGGAACTTTCAAACTCACAATTCAAAGACAAAGATGTGAAATGTTGGGTAAATGCTCTTTTGGAATCATACACATTGAACTTTTTCTTAAGACTAAAATTAAGACAAATCAAGACAGCGACAAGGTTCTCTAAATCGGCCCTTCAACAGAAATATGTATTAAATAAATATATTCAACATTCCATATTAAGGAAATAGATACTAGTCAGTTTTTGTTATTGGAATTATCAAATGAAGATATGCTGGTATTTGTGAAACAAAATGAAGTAGTATAAAATCAGTTCATTTTAACAACATATAGAAACATCTGCCAGCAGAGACTAAATAACCTTCTTCTGTTACTGTCATTTCATCAACCTCGAACTGAATCGAGTTTAAGAATTTTTTCAATTTTTCCAAAAGTGTCAATACCCCCCACAATCTTTGCCAAATTGTTGAGGTGATTTTCGTCTAGAGTCAGTTTTTCATTCAGCCTGGCTGCCAGAACATCCACTTCTGGAAATCCGCAATCCAAACAATACTGAATACAAGCCTGAAAAATGAAACGAATTAAATCATGTTGTCACTGTCAATCAAGTCAGTATCCAGAAGAAACTGGATCTTGGTGAGTGAACATTGATTTGATGATCTCGATGAAGGCAATCTATCTCATCAAAATTTTCTCAGAAGAAGAATGTCATAATTTTTCATTGAATCTCACATTTCAAAAGGTTAACTTACAATAGCTTTTGTAGGGGTCTTGTTATCGATACACTGATCGATAAACAAAGACAGAGCCTCGAACTTTGGCAGTCCCACGATAGTTTGATGGCCTTTGTCTAATTTGTCCATCAAAATAGATGCTTTGTCAAAATCGTTGTTTCTTAAAACTAGCATCATTATGTTTCCGAGAAGTTCTCCCGTAAATCTGAAAAAGAAAATAATAGTTTCAAACGATGAAAGTTATTTCGGTTAAGTTATGAACGTAATGACTACACATGTATACAACATATCTGGAAAGTATCCACACAGATCAAGCGAAACTACATATTCAGAGTTATGTAAAATAAGAAATAAAACTTCCTATGTGTTTATACCACTTGTATTTGAAATTATCCTTACTGTAGTTTCGTCCTACAAGGACATTTTCAAACTAATGCAATAAACTGAAATAATTGACAAAGTTTACTCTTATATATCTATACACAACTATAGCTAATAACAGGTAAACAAAATTCGCGTACTTAGTTAAGGGCTGTTTGTTATTACTTACAGTGGTGTATAGATATATAAGGATTAGCATTGTTAATTATTTCAGTTTATTGTATTAGATTGAAAATGTCCTGGTAGCAGGAAACTAGAGTAATGTTACAAATACAGGTGGTGTCAAAACATACGAAGTTTTATTACTCATGTAGATCTACCACGGAGTAAAGACTACATCCATCAGCTTTATGGAACCAATCCCAGAATACCAAAATGCCATCATTGCCTACACAATCCAACTAAATGCTCATAAATTTGACATAATGGCTGACAGAGTGCTGAGTTTGTTTTTTCTATAAAATGGACAACTACCTATACCTACTTCCTCTCTAGTAAAGGATTCTATGATGTATAATGGAGGCAAAATGGAAAATCATCTGACGAATTATATTAAAGATATCAGCAATGATGATAATTTCGAAAAGGCTGTAAACGAGTTATTATATAAACAGTCGTACTATAGCTTGGAAGAATTTCTCGCTGATAATTTTAAATAACTTTTTTGTTTTTATGTTACAGTCTGACCAACTATATTTCATTGGTTGGTTATTTTTGTGTTTTTGTTCTTTAATTTGTATCGTAATTTAATTATTTAGAAATATAAATCTTCTGTAAAGTACATCTTTATGATGACAATGTGGGTGATATCTACTTTATTTACTATCCATGATATATTGGGCCTTCAATATAAATATGCATTAAATATATATTACTCTTGTTAAGTTTTGACATAGAATACCAATATTGTATCTGATTCCTGTACCTTAATTGTTTATTCAAAGTCTTCCTATTTTGTTATTATCAACTTTATATAAAAGATATTGTAGAATAGTTTGATGTACAGAATGGGCCAAATTGGACACTTTTATAGTCTGGTTCACATGTGCTCGATTTAGCTCTTTTTGGCGACATTTTTCAGCCCTGTCCAAAAATTACGACCAAGGTGTCATTCGATTCGTATTTTTGCCTAGAAAGTTTAAGGGTAGGTCCGAAAACGAGCCGATAAAAATTACAAAAGTTATAAACAATTAAGTGAAAAAAAAATGGGGCTTTAGTTTTTTCTTAATATCTCGGAATATTTTCAAAATTTTGGAAATTTGAAAAAAGATTTGAAAAGATCAATGAATTTGCGTAAAAAAGGCTCGACCTCCCGTAACTGTATCTCGATTATTCATAATTTTTACAGAGCCCTGAAAATAGAGCCAAAAGCGGGTAGTCTGGCTTCCGCGCGCCTTTCGTCACTCTGACATAAAAACAAAAAAAATATTTCTCTAACCTCGATAACTCAGCTGTTTCTGGTCCGATCGACTTAAAATTTCGACACGTTTCAAGCAAAGGTTAGTACTCTAGAAAGACGTGGTTACTGGTTTACTAAGAGCGCCATCTCTGGGTTAGTCTCGGGACTTATTGATCCATGTAGTATGAGCGATGATAATGAGAAAAGAGTTTCAATTTATTCAATTATATAAAAGTTATTACACAATAGAGATGGTATATAATGAGTATGAGAAAAGTGTATTTATTTTCAAAGAGAATAATTCAAACTTATATGAGAGATATATAGATATTGAGTATCTTTTCAATCATCTACCAGCGCGAATCGAGAATTAAAGCGACTTTTTTCCTGAACAAAACATTCACCGGTATAAAACCAAACGTGAACGAAATATTGACAGAAACTGAGTTGAGCATTCGTACCTAAAGAGAAATACGAATTTAAATGGAGAGAAGTACGAATTTTTTACTTATGACTTGAAAAAAAAAACCAATAACAATGTAATTACTACAAATATAAATCCCGGTTCGATTGGACCAAAAAATAGGTGGTGTTTTAGCAGACTGTATATAATAAGGTTACTGATATATTAGAAATAATTTCACTGTATTGTACTTTTTTATGACATACCTTGGTGAGTTGAGCATATGGATGCGCTGGCAGATTTTTAGACACTGGTAGAGAGGCGATAAGTTCCTCGTTTTGTGGTACCACACACGCACGCCTGATACTCGAAAGTACTCGTGTCAATATAATACATACAGTGTGATACAAAATAAATGAGTTTAAATGAGAATGGAACATACCGCCCACCTAAAATGGTCACATTTTATGTACCGAGATTATATTGTAAATAAAAAAAATAATGAGAAAGCAAAACTGTGATATTACTACTATTAGGTGTAAAAAAATAACGTTAAAACTAATTGAGAAAATAAAAAAATATTGTTTTAGATATTATCTGGAAGCGGGCAAATCTGAGTGACGGGTCACTTTAATTCTGTGCTAGCTGTTTTGATACTCACAACGCGAGTGACTCCATCTCTCCCTGGGTAAATTTGAGTTATTCTCCCTAAGTTCCACTTCAATGGTAGAGTTAAGTCATTTTTAACCAAGACCATGGTACCCACGTCAATGCCATCTTTTCCAGAATGACTGATGCATTTGCTGGAGTAGTTGCCACCTTGATAGGTGCGAGAGTTTCACGTGTCTCAGATCAGAGTCGGGGGGAGAATTGAGTGGTTCAAGGGTGAGAAAATGTCCAGGAGTTAAAGCCTGTAAATCATTGGCGTCCGAGCTGATGGGGCATAAAGGGCGAGAATTTAATACAGCCTCAATCTTTACTGAAACAGTATTCATTTCTTTGTACGTGAGAAGTTGAGAACCTATAACGCGAAACAAGTGAGTTTTCAGAACTTTGATTTGAGACTCCCAAAGACCTCCAAAATTAGGAGCTTTAGGACAGTTGAAATGAAACTGTAAATCATTTTCTTGAGTAACAGTTTGAGCAATAGATTTAAAATATGTGGATGCGCCAATAAAATTTGAACCAGAATTACTGTAAAGGTGATTGCAACGTCCTCGACGAGCTATGAATCGGCGAAGAGCTGCAAGAAAAGCTTCCGAAGATAAATCAGAGACCAGTTCGATATGAACTGCTTTTATGACCATACATACAAAAATGCAAATGTAGGCCTTGTGAGTTTTTGCTCCTCGCATTCGTTTGAGCGTGATATAAAGGGGACCAGCCATATCAACGCCGGTATGGACAAGGGTTTAGCTTGAGAAATGCGCTGAGGAGGGAGGAGGCTCATAATGGGTTAACGAGATGAAGGGTTGAGCTTAAAACATTTGAAACATTTTGAGAGGATCGAGCGAATAGTGCGCTTCGGAGCGAGAATCCAATATATCTGCACAAGAAGATGATGGAGAGTTTGTAAACCTGGGTGCAAATATTGTGCGTGAGTATGTTCAATGAGGAGATAAGTGAAGCGATGAAAACTGGGAAGGAGAATACGGTGTTTCTGATCCTTAGCTAAGGAGGAATTTTGCAATCGTCCGCTCACCCTGAGGATTCCCAGAGAATCAATGAATGGAGTTAATTTTCTTAAATATTTTGGGAGAAATTTATTTTGTTTCAAGAGAGTAATTTCATTAGAGAAAGATTGATATTGCACAAACTTTATTGAATGAGTAAGGGCTGAATCTAATTCAGAGGGGAGAAGAAAATCAGAGTGTTGTTTAGAGACATTTCGAGAGTTATTAATAAAGCGAAGAATGTACGCGAGAATTCTTTGAATTTTGAGGAAGGAGCTTAAATTAGTAAGAAGAACAGTAATAAAATGAGGGGTTAAAGTAGTAATGAGAACAGTTTTCCGGGATTCTTCTTGAGTTTTCGGAATCTTGGAGGGATTAGCACCTATATCAGAAGGACAAGAATTTTCAGGAAAAGTCAACCAGTACGGTCCCGCCCACCATAGCCTAATACTAAGCAAATCGTGCGGAAGCGAGCCACGCGAACCAACATCTGCTGGGTTATATTGAGATCTGACATGTCGCCAGTGAGAAGTAGATAATTCCTGAATCTGAGCTACTCTATTGGCAACAAAAGTGCACCATTTATGAGGAGATGAATATAACCACGAAAGCACAATGGTAGAATCCGTCCATGCAGCAAAGCTCTCGACTTGAATTTGGGATTCAATAATCCTGAGAGTATAACTCAAGAGCTTCTTCAATAACAAAGCTGCACAAAGTTCGAGACGGGGGATAGAAAGCTTCTTTACAGGGGCTATTCGCGACTTCCCTGCGACAAAATGGACAGATATAGAACCATCGGCCTGAACACAACGCAGATATACAACACTGGCATATCCTCGTTCAGAGGTGTCACAAAACGCATGCACAGTACATGAGAGATTCTATTTTGATACAATGTTCCTAGGAATATTTAATTGAGAAATATGAGAGAGTTCACTAAGAACTTTGTTCCAGACAGAAGCAATATGCTTAGGAGGAGTTTCATCCCATCCTAGTCCAGAGATCCATAATTGTTGCAAGAGGGTCTTGAGAAGAAAAGTGAGAGGAGTTAAAAAACCAAGAGGGTCGAAGATGCGAGCTAATTGAGAGAGAATATTGCGTTTTGTACAAGGATGTGTGGTGGGAGTGACATGATAAGAGAATGAATCAGAGATAGGGTTCCACTGGAGGCCAAGGATTTTGATAACGGAGGCAGAATCTTTATCAAAAGAGAGGGGGTTTATGATACGATGGTCATGAGGTAAATGAGAGAGAAGTTCGGGAACATTACAGGCCCATTTACGGAGTTCAAATTGACCTTTAGCTAGTAAGGAAATTAACTGAGTTTGAAGAATTTGAGCGTCA